ATGGTGCAGTGTTTTTATGGTAATCCTGTTGATGTTATTGCATTGCCTGGAATGTTCAACAGTATTGCACTAAAGGGACAGTCCAGAATTTTGGACATAGGACATTTCCTAGTGAGCCAGAGTGTTGGAGACGACATATTTTTTAAATATTCCATCTAGTCCTCACATTTGCAGAGGTCACTGGTGCTAGACTAGTACATGTCAATGGCCATAGTTAGCCTGTCACTAAAAACAGTCTTACCCACTCCACAAAGCAAGCAAGCAAAACAATTATAATGCCAGACTGTCGATGTAAATGTCTGATAGAATAATGTTTGAAATAAAGCTAACCTTGCATCACATGAATCGTCACATGTTGAGGGACTATTTTCTCATATATCAGTCCACCGCTGCCAAGCTTTCAATCAGAAAGTACAACTCGCTGCTGCTGCTCAGACATAAATCCTTCAAATGCAAAGTTGGTTTTACTTCTAAAATTATTCTATCAACACAGACATTGACATCGACAGTCTAGCATTATAATTGTTTTGCTTCGGGTGCTTTGTGGAGTGGGTTTTTTTTTTTTTGGCCATTGACATGCTCTAGCCTAGCCCCAGCGACCTCTGCAAGGACTGGATGGAATATTTAAAAAGTATCTCCACACGTCTCCAATACTCTGGCTCACTAGGAAATGAGGTCCTATGTCCAAAATTCCGGACTGTGTCTTTAAACTTGTCCATGGAGACAAGCATCACCACCATGTCAAGTAATGGGTTAGACATGGAGAGACAAACCCACACAGTAAGAACATATGATTTTCAAGATATTTTGTTGCGCCTGGGGACCCAACTCCACTGATTCAATTTCTTCTGAATCCTAACTTGAGGAGGGCAGTTTTTTTATGTGAAGTTTAAACCACTTGATTGACAGAATTAAAGTTTGTGCACTCAGTAGGTCTGTCACAATCACTCTATCATCTTATCATTCAGTGTGGAAGCTGCAGCAATATATATCTGTGCTCAATATTTATCATATGTTCAGTTTCTTTACATTTTTATGTACAAAAAGTCAGATTTTGCTGTAGAGGGTAGGATAGATTGATTCATTCAGTCATTTGTTTCAGCACATGCTTTTTAATTATATTTTATATTTAAAAACTGATATACTGGGATTATCCTGCATTATTGTTATTGTGTCAGTGGCTTGAAGTAGTTTCAGTATTATCATGTATCACAGTATTTCTCTATAGCGATATATCGTGCGTCAAATTTTGTTATCGTGACAGGCCTAGCACTCAGACTCCCAACTGTTTTCAAGTGTGTTATTAAAAAAAACTTTAAAGCCTATTAATGATTTATTATTAAAACTGTGCCCAAAGAGGTAATTGCTTTATTTATTGACTTACAATGCTCCCAGATCTTGCAACAAAAACAATGCTCCTACCTCATGAGGAAACAGAATTGCATTTATTGCTGGATTTTTAGACTCTGTTGCAAATCTATAACTAATTTCCGACTTTACCCTTTCTCATTTTTAAACCTCCCTGAAAATGATACAAAAACACTTTTGACTTCTGTTACATTTTAGCAAAACAGGCACATAATTACAGCCATTGAAAATATGCAGTAATCTCATTGGAAGCGCTTTTCAACAATTTACTCTATAATTTACAACCTTTTTGAATTTTGGCCATGGCTCTGGGACCTCCTCGTCAATCTACTGACAACAAGATCTTTGCACTGCCTGAGCTGAACAGTTATGACATTGTGCCCGTATCACTTAAAGTCCAGAGTCTACAAGCCCCATTGGACTGAAAAGCCATGTGTATCCCATAGTGTGTGTAATGTGATCACCTCCACTCTCTATGGTTAAGTGTGTATCTTCTCTTCTACCTGATTCTAGCGCTTCTGTCCATTTCCTCTCACCTCTTTCACCTCTGTCGCTCGGTGCAGGCGCATTACAGAGGCAAATTGGGGCCAATAGACACTCGCCAAGCCAGGGCTTACCAAACAGAACCGGGTCAAACAAGACGCCAAAGAGATGGGATCAAACTGGGAGCTCGGAAGAAAGCGAGGGATTTGGGGAGGAGGAGAAGTCGGGATGGACAGAGAGAAGCGGAGAAAGGGAAAGAGAGAGAGAGACAGAGAGAGAGAAGGGGGCAGGAGAAAGAAGTGACAAGCTCAAATTAAATTCCCATCATGTCAGAGTAGAACAGAATTCAATAGTGTTTATTGGCAGCCCCTCGCCTCAGGGAAATTACATTCTGAAGCAGAGCATGAATGCACACACACATATACACACACACACACACACCATGCACACATTATATACACACACACCTAAACTAGTGTGTTGTAAACTGAGGGAAAAACCTGGTGCAGACAAGCGCTTAACCCCCAGAGCCTGGACCATGTGCTATTTATTTATCCAAAGATCAGGCATTATATTATGACCACCAGAACTATAAGCACAGTGGAATTGAAATGGGTTTTTGCTCATACAAACCTAAAAAAATGAAAGACTAAACCCCTAAAATTCTTGATAAACGTGTACAGAAGGTAATCAGGTAATTTTGTGGGAAGCAGCAGGACTTTGAACTAATTTGGAAACCGTTTTTGAACATTGATTGGTCATTGGGGTGTAGAGCGAGGTGTGTGTGGGAGAGTTTTATTTTTTGTGTAATTTTTGTTCTTGTTTTGTTTCATTTTAAATCAATTAATAAAAGCTGAATGTATAATTTTTAAACCTGTCCAGCCTAACAGACTGTGGTGCACTATGTATTCAAACAGCTTGCTAATAAAACCAGGCTTTTGGCAGAAAAGTGAAAGGACCAATATAACTTTTGATCACTGACAAGAGTTATAATTTTGGAGATATTCCGAACCAACTATCGTAATTAGTCTCTTGTCAAAGCATGACTCATGTTCCTGTCCTGTAAGAACTTAACAAATTAGCAATGATATTCTTCAAGTGTATTATCAGCAAATAGATGGGGCACTTAAGTAGTTCTAACTTTTCAAGCAAATATCTGTTCAGACAATCACAGAGCAGTTAATATCACGATCTGTTTAACAAAAACACTTTAAAACACAGATTTAAAGGTGCTCTATGTAGCTTTTCTAGTGAAGGGTACGCCACCTGCCTGTGTATATAAGAGATTTTGTTGTATTGCCTGGAATGTTCCACTGTATGGCATTAACAGGGAGTCCGCCTGGTGACGTAGGTAAAAAAAAGATACTAAATCGTGGCTTACTATTTCGTTCCCACAATATGTAATTTGTTCCCACGTTTTAGTTAATTCGTTCCCACGTTTTAGCAAAATCTTTCCCACGTTTTAGCCAATTCGTATACATCACTACGGGGTCAGCCCATTGTTCTGAAAGGCCATCAGTCCGACCATACATACACATACACACACAGTAGAGATGCGTGGATGTGTTGTAACATGTTGAGGATAAACCGTTCGGAGTGTGGGTGGAATTCTCATTCGTTTGAAGAACCACACTGGAGCGGAGAGCCACAAACATCAGAACAAGAAAATCTACGCCGTGTCATTCGCAAATTTAGGAACGGTTTATCCTCAGCATGTTACAACGCATCCATGCATCTCTACTGTGTGTGTGTGTGTGTGTGTGTGTGTGTGGTCAGACTAATGGGCTTTTGGAACAATGACATGACCCTGTTTGCCGGATTCATCAGTCAGTTTCACTTTGTGGAAATCATCTGACCTCGTAACATGAGGTTTCATTCGCTCGACAGTAGGCAGGTACTTTTTTATTTAACCAATCGCTGCTATTTGGTCATGACGTATGTAATGCGCCGAAATGCTCAGTGGTGTCTTAGTTTTGCTGGCATCACAGCTCTTCGCTGATTAGTGTATTCCGATTCGTGACCTAGTCGCTGGAGAGAAATGAAATTGAGTGGAGGCACTAGGTTGCACCAGTTTGGCTATGACTCCGTAGTGATGTGTACCAATTGGCTAAAACGTGAGAACTATTTAGCTAAAACATGGGAACAAATCGGCTAAAATGTGGGAACAAATTACATATTGTAGGAAATTGTAATGTGAGGCCACGATTTAGTATCTTTTTGGCGTACGTCATCAGCCAAGTTCCCTACATTAAACTCATATTTCATGCACTTATTTAAAAAAAAAAACATACATTATTACTATTACTACTTGTCTCCATGGAGATATTTACATTTATTTAATGCCATTCGGTGGAACATTTCAAGCACAGCCTTATCATCTCCACGGACTAAAACGCAGGTGGCAAATCTTCAAAGGGAGAAGTTACATAGCGCGTCTTTAAGTTACTTTGAACACAACATGAATGTTTAGTCACAGATTTCAACAAACATCTATCCGTTGCCTACATTTCACAAAGACTAATTAAAAGAAAAACCCTTAAAAATATTGTCAGTTAACTGGTAAAAATATCTTGATGATAGCAGCGATCAGAGGAAAAGGTCAGAATTGTTATCAGTAAAAAAACAACAGTATTTCATATAAACACAAAATACACAGTGCAGGCTCTTTACTGGGTACAAGGTATTCCAAATAAAGTAATGATAACTTACAAATGAGCAGGTTTATTTCTCATTTAGACATTTCTTATCTTCCCATGCGCACAAAGTCATGCATTTAAGCTGTGTTATTTGTCTCCTAGCCGCAATTGTCACTTTCAAGTCGTTCTATTTGCATCCTATTATTACCATTATGTATTAAATGCCTCCCTGGGCGCAAGTTGCCGTGGGGACAGTGCTGTGGCTCCTTTTGTCCGACCTCCGGCAGCAGTTCTTTAATGGGAAGAGGTTTAATAGTTCTCCCGTGTGGAGGCTATTATAGCTGATGTGCCCGAATGCAGATTGGCTCTAAATGGCTAACAATGTGCCATCTCCTGCCCCATCCCGGCCTTTTATGTCTGTGTCTGTTTAGATCTACATTCTAGGCTTCTCCACAGTGGCTACCCCTCCAAAGCCTTCTTCTCACTTGTTTCCATTGATGTGTGTTTTTTCAGGAGCGCGTGGAGAGAGCCCTGGGTTGCTCAGTGGAGGATCTCAAAGCGCTTTTCTACTGCGAGCTGTGTGACAAGCAGTACCTGAGACACCAAGAGTTTGACAACCACATCAACTCCTACGACCACGCGCACAAGCAGGTGACGCCATTACAACAGGACGCAAATAGATACACGCTGATTTGATTGTGTTGCTAGAATCAAGAGGTTTTACATTTTCATTTAAGAGTGCCCAGTGGGTGATGTGACTCCCAGCAGGTGACAGTGGGAGTGTGACAACTGCCATCGTCTGTTAGAAGTGACACCCGGAGGGGCCAGACACAGCAGCGCTCATAATTACACAAGGCTCAGAACAGCGGCAACCAAACAAGAAAATGTAATCTATAAAAGACCATTATGAAGCCTTGGGTCGGGGCTTTCTGCATCTATTTTAAGCTTTAACTATAGTGACCCTGAGCGTTAGCCTTGTATTGCTATAGACTAATGTAATGTTGTTTGGCCCACCACGGCCACCGTAATCAGGCTGACACGGGCCACATCAAAGCTCCAGCATCAAAGTCATTTACACATCAACCAGAACCACATCCCTCACATCAGCAAACAAGTGTGAAAGGCAATTTGTTTCACTGTGTAATAAACCATAGTAAACATCCATGTTTCCTTCTCTAACAGATATAAGCAGCAGCGTTAGAATAGTGTGAGAATAGTGCTTTAAAAGTGAATGATAGTGAAGTCACAGCACATACTCACAGCAGTGTGCCTTCGCGCTCAGTCTGAGTCCAGCTGTGATGGTCTGAAGAGGACCTGCTCTCCACCACATCTAAAAGTCAAATTCAAAAGTATGCACTTGTACAATGTTCTACATGTTAAGCCTTGGATATCTACTAGTATATACATGAAAATGTCCATATGATCCTAATCTGTTCAGATCTGACAGGTCAGTGTAATTGCACTGCATGACTGTGAGCCCTGACACACAGAGCTGTGTATGATTGGAGTTTGGACACTGAGGTCATGCACCATTAAAACAGGCACAGGTCTCATCCTGTTCTTCACTGGTGCTGGGGATGTGCTGGGGATGTGCTGGGGCGACAGTGGGGTTGTACTGGGGCTGTGCTGGGGCTAGACTGGGGCTGTGGTATGGCTGTGGTGGGGCTGAAGGCTCCTGTAGTAGTGCTGTCAGACAGAACATCCTCACACAAACACACAGATCTAACACACAGGCCCTGCATGAAGCAGCCAAGCAGCTCCCACTTCTGAACGCCCACACTGGGCAACATGAAATAAACATTAAATAAGACTGTTCCTTCACTGTCATTGTTCTTTGAAAATGAATCCAGGCAACTTCAGGCCAATGTTAATGCTTTGTTTTAGCCGGCGGCAGGCGCATGAAACGAGCTGTGTGAGGCAGTGAGCTGACAGGAGCCAGTGGCTCAGTACCATCCTGTACACACATACCCACATACACTTATTGTAGTACGCACATACTGTAGGACGCACACATATTGGAGTACACACATATTGGAGTGCACACACACTTGTACACGGGGTATACAGCTGTGGGCGGGCGTGCACACTGAGCAGACATAGATGAAACTGTAGCTGCAGACAGCTCCCCTGCAGGAGTATTGGCTTTGGAGAATGGAAGCTGATTGCGTTTCCTCTGTCTCCATTTCTTGTCATCGATTCGGGGATAAACATGTCTGAATGCACTGCTTTATCAGCATTTACCACTGATTACAGAAATGGCTCATTACATAAGGACTATGCTGCTTTTAAATAAAAGTGCAATCTGAGTCTATTAGCATTAGCCTGTATTTGGCATCCCTAAGAAAACTTCATGTGTTATTCCAGAGCCCTGGCGGATCTGTCCCCACTGTGAGAGTGTGTGCCTCATTGTGCAGTCCTTAACACTTCTAAAGGAATATTGATCGGCCTTTGACAGACGGATTGGGCTTCAGAGCACTGAGCTTGAGTGGCATGTGAGAGCAGGGTAATATCACATCCCACTGTTAGGACATGCCCTGCTGTTTGAAGCCACGCAAACCTGTATGTGCAGTGGGAGACCTTCTGCTCAATACTTTTGTTTGTCTCTAAATATAGCTACAGGTTTAGCTGCAGTGGGACTTGTTTTTAAGAGGGAACAATAAGCTGGCAGAGTACAAATGCAGGAGGTGGTGAAGAATCCATCTTTATATATTCCATCTTTTACAAGGCTCTCTCTCTCTCTCTCTCTCTGCTATACGGACAGCCACAGCAGCACTTTCTCAGCCTGTTGGCCGCGCCCGCAGTAATTCATTATGAATCGCTCTCTGCGTGAGCGTGATTAATATTTCTATAGAATGAGTTTGGCATCAAAGTACCTACAATATCAAATGCTAACAAGTACATAGTGTAGAATCCACCAAGGGGTCGGAATTTAAAGGGCATAAAGGGCTATCAACTCAACTAAAAGATACACACATTGGCATGACCTTTTATAAGATATTTAGCCCTAAAAGCTATAACATTTATACACACTGACGCAAGAGTACAGCGTCTTTATTTTTAAGTTTTATATTATACTTTTGACACCAGCATCTTATTCGGTTGGCCAGTCCCTTGTACCCATTTGCACCTTCATTAAAGATTATCTTTGGCATGGCTTTTGAAACATAACTTAATAGATTACATTTAATTCTGAGATTCTTAACCACCTTAAAAAGCTTATATTCATCACCAAGCATAACACTATGACCTCTGACAGGAGATGTTGCATGGATCAGATTTCTCCATTATTGCATCATTTAGTGGTTGGGATGCATATGCGTATTAGGCCTTTTTCTGATGCTTTGGTATTGGGAGGAGTAGACATTTTAGTCAGTGTGTGTTATCAAGATCGGCCTACAAATATATCTATATGTACAAGAGCACTTTTGAGGTGCCATATATCATAAAAATATCACACTAATGGTATTCACGAGCAAGGACCACCCCACAACGATATATGCAATGAAATACTATTTACTGATGGAAGCTATAACGATATGATGAAGTAGATTTGGCAGGGTAGAGACAGCCAAGCCGATGCTGGACCCTCCCTCGGTAAATGTCTTAAGGCCGAAAGACAAACAAGAGAGATGGGGTGGGAGGGTAAGGTCGAGATAGCAGAGACAAACTATGTGGATGGAATAGGCTGGTATAAATAGGGCTTCTGGGTAATTAAAGGTGTGGTTCGCTGGAGAGGAGAAAGAGGTTGAGGCATGGTCCTGCTCTTGAATCTCAGTCAATAATATAACTCCATATATTACTTAATGCCTCCGACAATGGCCCTCTGGCAGGATAATCCACAAAAACATAATCTAAATGTATAATATCATCGTCGAGCTGTAATAAATAAACCTTATAATCAAATATCTTTAGTGTTGGAATAGTATCTATACACTAAAGGCCTATGTAAGTTCCTTACCCAACCTTCTACAGCTCAAAAAATTCTAAAAAAAATATAATTAATTCCCATTGTTCCCCAAAATATATTGGTCCATCAATCATTTACTGGTTTGTATAGTTAATATTGTGCTTCTTTACTGTGGTCACTTTTAAAAATAGATAAATTTCCCATGTGTGTCCAACTGCCACTTGCTGAAAATGCTGTTTCATCTTTATTGTTATCATCTTGAAGTTATACCTTACCTGTTTTCAAATTTGTGTTTATTTACCTCAAAGTATACCTCTCAAAATCCACCATATAGTCTATAGATTATATTTCAGGCTACATCACCTATAGTTTGCAGAGAGAATGCAGCTCACAAAGCCTGTCTGTTGTCAGTGGCATGTTTGGCTTGATGCTCTAATATAAATAGACAGGCGCTTGTGTGAGAATCAGCAGAGATTAACCTGAAAAACTGTCAGCTCTGGCTCTGATCTGTGAGTGAACGCGAGCGAGTCTATAAATAAATATGATGTATGAAAGGCTAATCTGATGAATGCTGCCGAGCTAGGATAACACTCAATCTATGGTGTAATCCCACTACACAACAGATCAACAACATACCCATATATATAGGCTACACACACTATTCTGATCAATGGCAATCTTATCTAAAGATATTGAGTGAAAGCAAAGAGTTTTTCAGTTGTCTGTGTATTGGTCATTTCACGTTTTTAGGCGTAATTGTAATGCAATGACATTAAAATACTCAAGTCAGTCCAAAAATGCTAAATATAATACTCAAAATACAGAAATGTAATGTAATGCATTGCAAAGTTTTTATTATATAATCTAGGGCTGCACAATCAGGGTAGCCTCACGTTTGACTACCCCAAAGTTTAGATTTTAAAGACCTTTTTAAGACCGCTTCAATGAAAATTAAGACCAACATCGCTCCCATATGCTGGCCAATTCTAACAATGATCATACTCCCTGCTTTAAATAACAAAAAATACTTTTATTATTAAATCTCATTCAGAACTCATTTATAGTAGTATGCATCGCTTGTAAAATAGTCAAAAAACATTTATAACATTCTAACAAGACAAACTAAGTATTGTTTGCACATACTCCAAATTAGACGTTCATTCATGTTACGAGATTTCATGTTGTTGTTGTTGTTTTTTTTCTCCCTCCATTTAACATTGCACTGCAGCCCGGTTGAGTGAACAAAAAGACAGACTAATGAAATTTAAGAACTTTGTGAAAAAAATAAGACTTGGGCAACATAATTTAAGACTTTTTAAGGCCTTAACAATATAATATGACTATATTGTAATTGAACTGAAATTGCAATTTGAGTTGGCGCAGTTATTAAATCGCAAAGGCTGCAATGACTTAGATAATAGAGAAATCCTGTTTCCTAAAAAGAAAAATGCAACAGTTCCTTTGCCCATTTCCTCTCAAATGAAAGGCTCCTTGAATTATTTACAATGTGAACAGAATCTTACTTTTTTTTTATTTATTTTATTTTATTTTTTTACACAACTTGCATATCTAATCACAATTTCAATACTAGACTTCTTTTTTTTCGTGCAGTCCATCATTGCAGATATTGTGTACCAGACTGCCACTTCTACAATTATTTTACTCCCTCAACAACTAAAAACTTGTATTGGCAATTTGATCATTACTCATAATATAACTGCCACTCTTGGTATAGTGAAAGCAA